TTCTCTCTGAGTCTGAAAACAACACATGTCCAGGGAAACACAGAGTGTTCTGGTTCAGAGCCGGATCAGATGAAAATCACCCCAGTGTCATTTACACTCATGGAAACAGATCTGGAGGATGTGAGAGAGAGTCCAGAGGCTCACTCTCCACAGAAATGTGTCTACAGCTTCTCAAAGACCGTCAACTCCTCCGACGCCTCGACTTATTTCTGTGCTGTGGCCGCATGTGGAGAGATATTGTTTGGAAATGGGACAAAAAGATTGACATCAAAGGTAACTGCACAGCATTCAATATGAATCATTTTTTAACATTCATTTTCAAACAGTTGAATCCACCTGGAAGATTTTAGTAACATCTTAACACAATAAGTTTTTATATGTTTTCAGGAGCCGACAATCAGACGCCGTAATAGCTCTGTTTCTGTAACTGCACATATTTGGAGATGTGACAAAAGTAGATGTTGAAGGTCAAACGTTTTTTTATGCTAAGAATCTGCAGATTAAAGTGTGAAATGATGGTCTCATTGCAGATTGGTATGATCTCAACACATATTTATCATAAAACACATCCTTTATAAAATATGCCGATGACTCCGTTGTTGTATGTCTGCTTCAAGAGAATGAGACGAGCCACGGCCCGGTAAATGACCAGTTTGTACCAGGTGTGAGGAGTCTTACCTCCAGCTGAACATATCTCAAACTCAACATATGATTATTGATTTTAGAAAGAAAACTCAAGTGAACGATGCCACTATTCAAAGGTCAGAATATTGAGTAAGTGCAATCTTATAAAAACATTGGACCATCATTGATTTGAATTTTAACTTTGAAGCTAACGGTTTGTAAAAAGTCTAAACAGTGTTTGTGTCTGTAGGAAACTGTCGTACTTTCATGAACCATAATGATGATGTTTTATCATGCTGTTATTGGATCAGTCTTGTCTTGTTCTTTGGTGTCATGGTTTCAGTCAAACCTGCACCTCAGTGCTCTGTACCTCCGTTCTGAGGTATGTGGGGTGAGTCTGATTGGTGAGTCTCAGCTCTTCTGGCGTCTCTGAGACAGTTGCAGAGGATAGCTACCTCGATTATAAACGATGATTCTCGTCCTTTGCTCAGTGATTTTCAGCTTCTCCCCGGACGGAGGATTTTAGTCCCAACGTGCAGAACACAGCGGTACAAAAACAGCTTTGTTCCTGCTGCTATCACAGAAGTGAACAAGCTGTAGCCATATTTGCAAAAACATTTTTTTTTTCAGTCAAAAACTTATTTTTAACCTGCCTGAAGAGATCATTTTTGTTTTTGATATTATTGGTTGAGATATCTCTCTCCCTTATGCTTCTTATTGTGAGAACATTGAGCACTTTTATAATTATTTGGGTTTTTATGATGTTTTAGTCGGTTTATATATAGTTCCCCTTTCTCTAATGTGTTGTTCATTGTTACATCTGTTCTGTAATCTGTGTGTTATCTTGCTGGCTGCAAACAAACCTACTTAAGGGTACAAATAAACGCACCTGAACCTGAACTGTAATCACATTATATTAATAATTAAATCATTCTTTTTTATTTTCATTCTTGTCTAGAACGAACAGCAAGTTTTGAATTGATCGGGCTGGTCATAGCGATACTCTGCTTGGTGATTTCTCTGATTGGAAATGTTTCTCTCATTTGCTTCCAAACTCCGAGAGAAGAAAGTGAACAATCTAAAGGTTAGTGACGATGACCCGTTCTAAAAGCATTATACAATTTCATGTAACAACGTGTTCTCAGAAGGAGGAAGACACTTTTCTGCCGGGTTATAATCTTCCTAACAGCTGTGGTTGTTGGCTCAAGTAATTGAGACGAACTCGTTCTCTAAGCAGCAAAAAATCATCAAACCTTCTTCATCTTTCATTTTAACTCTGCATGTATTTTCTGTTTCATTATCCAGCTGCTGTCGTCCTGCAATTAAACAGCGAGAGGGTGAAAAATCAACAGGTAAATCATTTAAAGATGTTCATGTTGTCCTTATGTTTTTGTCCATTTAACAGCTCATGTCATCTTTGCCCAGATTGATGAGGAGACTAAAGTTTACTCTGCTGTGGTCTTCACCATGAGGAAAGCTGACCGTGGGCAGTGAAGGATGCAAAAGTAGCGCAGAGGAAAAGGATGTGTGCTGCTGTGAAGGATTTTGGTTTGAATTAGTGAGTGAAAAGGTCTGTTTGGCTACATTTGATTTAGCTGATTTTAGTTTGTTTAAAGCTTAAGAAAATGCTGATTACCTCCAAATATCTACACTTAGATAACTTAAGGAGGTGCTATGAATATTCTATCACTCAGGTTGTGACTGTATTGGTATGTGTATGCAAATGATATTCTATAATTCATAATAAAATGTATTTGTCAAACCTCCTTGGATTAAAGGACTGTAACATTCAGGCTTACCGGGTCTCCTGCGTTGTTCTTTCTGTAAGTCCATGAGCGCTTTGTTTATGAGGAAACATCACACCACATGTTGGGAGGATAAGAAATACATGTTTCTAAATCTGCTTTACATTTTCAGGGTTCTGTCAAATGTCTCGTTATCATTTGGAGATAATCAATCATTCAGTCAATCAATCTTTATTTGTTCAGCACCAATTCATAATAAATGTTTCTACAAAAACAGCCGCTCTGCACTTTACTCTTTATTATATTTACAGAAACACAAAATTCATCCATCAGCAGACAAACATTTAGCAAAGTAACAATGGAAGATAAAAAATAAAAGATAATGACTCATTTTGAACAGAGAAACCTGGATCAGAACCAGACTCATGTTGACAGCAGAACCTGGATCAGAACCAGACTCATGTTGAACAGGCAGAAGCCTGGATCAGAACCAGACTCATGTTGAACCGCCACCTGCTATGACTCTGTTTGGCTTGAAAGAACGGCATAACTGGGTATTACAAGGTCCCAAAGTCAGACTGTCCTCTATGAATACTCATATAAGCTGCTATGATTTTATAAAGTCATAAATACAGAACACTGTAGTGTCATTCCACTTGCACGGCTGTATTCTTTACCTTCAAGGCAGAAAATACTTTATTTCAGGTTGTAAAAATGTTTCTGAACATGAAATGATTACATGTGGGGTCCCCCAAGGGTCTATTCTTGGCCTTCTCCTTTTTCAAACAAAATAACTGTATTCGGTCCCAAACAGGAGGGATCATGAGTCAGCGCTCATTTACCATCAATTTCACAGAAGCCACACATCAAGCAAGAAATCTGGTGTTGTTTTGGAGTCTGATATAAATGTAAACATTCACATAAAAACAAGTTCAAACACGAAGAAAAGAGGGAACAGATGACACAGTCTGAGTCGCTTTTATACCTCAGGGGAGAGCTGGGCGGGGCCCTCCTCGTGGATGGGCTTGGACAGGTTGTTGGTCGCTGCTGACGCCTGATTGGCACATTGGTGGGACTGGTCTGCCAGACGGGCCGTCAGCAGGTCCCTGGATGAGGGGGGAGCAGGACGCTGCCCCGCCACCATGGTGGTGACTCTCACTCCAGAAAAAGGTTGCCATGGGAGGGGCCCACCTTGTGGATGGGGGTGGACCGCAACATACAACTCTTTTAGTGCTGCGCAGGTTCGCAAGTGATAAATCCAATAGCAATAGCCTTAGAGGGTGGAGCCTATACGATATAGAATGCAACGCACGGTTTGCAAACATACGCACACGGACGACTCAACACACTCACAGAACTCTCCAAAAGGGATGTTAAACCACACACAGAGAAGGGGCATGTGTGCGTTAAAATGACTGTGTATCCACATCCAGGTCCAAAAATGGTCTCTTCTGATTCTAAAGAACCATCGGGGTATTTGTCAAAATGCAAATGTTGATGCTTTTACACACCACTGGTTGACTTCAGGGATGTTCAATCAGAAACCACAGATCTTTCTTTGAGATAATAGGGTGCCATATTGTCTTCTGGTTTAGCTGCCTGGTCCCAGAACAACCTGTCAGAAATCTGTAGAGCACCTTTACAATCGAGCCTTGAAGATTCTGCACAAAAACACAAATAGGACATCATCACTGCAGCATTTTAAGTAAATACAAGACTTTAAGTTTTACACATTGCTTGATCCATTAACACTAGGACCACCAACATTCTAGACCCCCCTCCAAGCACCTCAGCCGTCTGTCAGACAGCATGTGCAAATGTAATTGTTTGTGCTCAGAAACACACAAATATTGAATTTTTTTGATGAAGTTAAATACAACTTACTTTTATGTACAACCCAAATAGGCTATCACAGCATAAGGCAGGATTGGTAACCTTTTAAATGTCGCATGTCAATTAACAATATATGTCTGCTTTTTTAGTGCGCCGTTTTTTACTGCTGCTCCACGTCTCCCGTTGCAGCGCTCTTTAGTTTGCTGGTAGCTTCACATTGCATGTGAATTTACACCAAATGACTGTGATCTAAAAACACTTACATGACACTCAAATAAGCAGTCAGTAAAGTATGTTATTCTTCTTTTCTCTAGTCCCTCAACTAAACAACTTTTATACGCAAGGGGATGAGCTCGTCCATGTAAACAGTGTGTAGATACCACGGGACTCTCATGACAGTCATGACTCAGAGTTATTTTCAGAGGATATACTGGATTTCTGCTATATTTATGTGTAAAATATTGCATATTCTACCTTTAAATGTTGAAACATGCTTGCTCCTTAGGCTGCAATACTCCTCTTAAAGGCTAGTTGGCAGAGTGATTTTATTGCAAGTTTAGGGTTCTGCCACATTCCCTGTTTTTTTGTGTACAGGAAACCATGAGGACTGAAACCGGCAAGCAGCAGTTGATTTTACTGCTGCTTGACCTACGTCCTACCTCAGTCAGACCCAAACTAGACTAGGCGTTTTGAGCATGCTCCACAAACCCCTCACCTGCTCCTACATAAGGGAGGTGACAAGGGTAATCTCAATAATTACAGGCCAAACAATATAGAATTCTTAATAAATGACTAGTTTACAGATTTTCTTTCCAGAACCAAAATCATGAGCCCATATCAGTCAGGTTTGAGGGCGCACTCACACTAGGCAATCTGTACTTTGCTCAAGCATGCTCCACTCCTAAAGTCTAGTCCGCCCCTCAATGATGTCTCGAGTGTAAATAAAGGTTGAAAAAAAATTGCCTTTTGAGCTGTAACTGTAGCTGGACGTAACTGTGCATATAAAGTTACTGACTTTAAGTGAGAGAGAGAGAAAGCATGAAGCAGAAACAGCTTAGGAGATATTTCTTGCATGCTAGTGGTTAGTTCACTGTGCATTAAAACTTTTAGGTGTTCTGCCTGTGGTCAACTTTTTGCCCACACACACAAACAAACAGATGAACACACATTCACAGTCACAGCTGAAGACCAAGTCATGCATGGAAACTCGAATGCCGTTGTGGTTTGGCTTCACATCGAGGTGTGAATACAAAGAGGCTTTTTTCTGTTGCTGCACTCTGTTTGAATCTCAGGAAGTTCAACTTAACTTTTCTATTACCTTCTTTAAAGTGAGAGAGCTATAATACTGTTTTTATTAGAAATAGTATCACAACAACAACTCAGGTTTAGGAAAAGGCAGCAATGTGAAGTTTTTTATTGTGTTTTTCACCAGCCAGAGGGGAGGTGCTAATCTCTCACTGGTTTGTACCTGCTCTGTTTGGCCTCAACAAGAGATATGTAGTGGGAGTTTATGGCTTCATAAAATAAGGCTGGCTGCACACTAGACAGCTACCTTGGTAAGTCTCTGAAGACTCTTCAAATAGTACAAAATGCTGCAGCTGTAGTGACAAGAACTAGGAAAAGGGATCACATTTCTCTTTAATTGGCTTCTTTGCACTGGCTCCCAATAAAATCTAGAATATAATTTAAAATCCTTTCCTCTCTTACAAAGCTCTGATCAGGAAAAATCTTATCTTAAAGAGCTGATAATGCTGTATTACCCTTCAGGAACATTACGCTCCCAGAATGCAGGTCTAAGTACGGACTCTAAATGTACTATGGAGGTAGAGCCTTCAGTTATCAGGCCTGCTCGTGGTACAGTCTCTAAATGTACTATGGGAGGTAGAGCCTTCAGTTATCAGGCCTGCTCGTGGTACCTACGGTCTCTAAATGTACTATGGGAGGTAGAGCCTTCAGTTATCAGGCCTGCTCGTGGTACCTACGGTCTCTAAATGTACTACGGGAGGTAGAGCCTTCAGTTATCAGGCCTGCTCGTGGTACCTAGTCTCTAAATGTACTATGGGAGTAGAGCCTTCAGTTATCAGGCCTGCTCGTGGTACCTACGGTCTCTAAGGCGCACGGTCACACTCGCCATCCGTACCGTGCTGTACCCAAGCACGATTGCCCCCCACAGCGCCATTCCCCTGCTGTCTGGGCGAGGCCCGCGGTCACACTACACAAGACTAACCGTGCCTAAGCACGAATACCTCTTGTACATGACGTCGTAATACTGTCAGGCTGTCAGCAGGTCCCTGGATGAGGGGGGAGCAGAACGTTGCCCCGCCACCATGGTGGTGACTCTCACTCCTAAAAAGGCCTAAAAACACCCTGGTCTGTGAACCTTTGAAGTTGAGGCACAAGTGGACTGGAGTCCTCAAAGATTTGGGGTCTGCTGCTTCTCCGCCCTGGTGTGGAATGAGGGCAGGGAACAACGGGATCCTCCCTGACTGCGAAACTCGCAGGCCATCTCATCCAGGGGGCGGACTCCCACGCCAATGGCACTGCAAGACCTCTGCGGGCCCCAGCAGACCAGATAATATCCGGCAGCTCCCAGTAGACTGGTCACCAGCAGTGGGGATTGTTTGACTCATCAGTGCACACTCAAGCGCTAAGAAAAAGACGAAACAGATCACTCAGTCTCAGCCACTTATATACCTTAGGGGAGGGACCACTCGCTAGACATGTGACTCCACACACTCACAGAACACTCCAAAAAGGATGTTAAACCACACACAGAGAGGGGGGTACTGCTGCATGTAAGGGACTAATGTGTATCCACATCCAGATCCAAATATGGTCACTTCTGGTTCGAAAGATCCATCATCGTATTTGCCAAAATGGGAAAGTTGATGCTTTCACGAACCACTGGTT